TAATTTTAGAGAATTAGAGTTTCTCTGCATAATTTTGTTATGTTTATGAGATTACAAATACCGTATCTTTGTAAATAATTTGACATTTGATTCTATCTCATGTTTTCTCTCCTTTAGTCAAGAAAGTAGCAAATTCGTTTAAAACAATGAAAACACGTTTACCAATTTTCCTGATCTTTTCCAACATAAAAATTTTTGAAATGTCATGCACGAGAGAATCGAGCGCACGTAATAAGATATTTTAATAGGAGAACATTGAAGCTTCTATCGTTGATTAAAATTCAGTTGTCGATTTTATTCGCGTATACAAAGTGTGACGTCTTTCTTTTTTTCTTTCCTATAGTTATGCCAGCTGCTTGATATAAAACGTGATCTACTCGGAGGAAAGGAAGTTACAATTAGGGTGCATTCAAGACTGCTAGTAAATCAGGAGGTAAGTCCGCACATACATTAAAAGTAGCGAATATATTAAAGATTATTTGCAAAAAGTATTTTGAATGCAATAAATGCAAATATCGCCAATTAAACCGCGTATGAAATGATGATGTTTAATAAACATTCGATATCAAGCTTACAATGTTTTAAACTTTTAGCAACAGTAATGAATTATTGATCAGTGTTACGTATTTCAATACTTACTGAACAATATATTGAAAAATATATATAATTGCTTCTCTGACAAAAATTCAGGTAATACAAATTAATATATATCAGGTAATATAAATTAAATCTTTCTAAATTCTTTATAAAGTTTGATTACTTCATAATGCGTTAAAAAATGCTATACCCACAAGTAGTACCACTATTAGATAAACGCAATGGAGTTTTATTTGTTGCGATTTGAAAGAAATAATTAAATCACATCTCTCATAAAACGGAATAGTATCTCACAAAATTTACATTACTTTAAACACGTAAGAATGTATAATGAGTTAGGTGCGATAATTAGAATGCAATAATAAATTAATAATAAATTAGTTTAACAATAAAAATATAACATATATAATAAATAAATTAGACATTTCTATTATCTTTTTAACAGATGTGTAACAAATATTTGCTATTAAGCATTTTTGAATTTATATATTCTGAACAGTTATATGTAAAAACAAATTAAATAATTTATAACGCGATATTTTTCATTTGTTATTATGTAGAAAGAGAAAGGAAGGATATTTGCATTCACTGATTATCCAAACGAGAATATTCCTGAATTAATGATGCGTAATATAAAGTTGTTTGGCAAATACTATGAGTCATGTGTATCAGTTATTGAAAGATTCCACCAGCTTTATAGCTGATCGACTTACGTGTCATTATAATGAGGCTGACGGTCGGGCAGTATCATCTCATCACGTGCTTGTACGAGATATACGTTAAATTGAACTCACATAATGATTTAACGTAAGCTGGTCCTGTACTGTCTAATTTACCAGACAACAAGGACGAATCGAGAGATAACGAGGGAAATGATGAGACGTCGGTGACAGGATACTATTTACGAGTCTTTAGTGCGTACTGATTGGCTCTAAAAAGACTCACGGTACCTAAACAGACACTAATTGAGAGCGGTTTAACCCAAGGGGAGCTGTAAAGAATGAAAACTCGCCTCGTGTATACGTATGTTGCGTAAGTCATAGTAGATAAATATTTAAAAATTAATTTCCTTTTAATGAAATTTTTATAGGCAGAGTTTGCTTATACAAGATTTAACACATTGAAAAATTTTCCGAATCAAGTACTGGTCACGGGTAATTGAACCTGATTTTTAAGTTGATTTGATTTAATAAAACTTTCACTAAGAGGTTTATTGGAAATATTGATATTAAAAATCAATATTTCAAGACGGGATTAACTTTGGACTTAACTGTGAGAGTAAATTACTTTTCGTGATTTAAAATTCTTTTTGATAAACATATCTTTTATGTACATATAGTTTATTAAATGTTTTGTCAAATAACGCGAAAATGCTTCATATATATGTTAATAGTTACAGATTTTTTTCCCTCATTTTCTGACACGCGCGAACATAACGAGACTAAATGTGATGCAAATGGTATAATGACGCACAATGCGACCATTTCTTTGGATGAAAAAATCAGAAGAAAAATTGCGTATTGCATGTATCTAACAGAAGATACGAACGTAACTGCGAAGCACATTGTATGCCGCGACAATGCTGCATGTGCGAAAGTTTGCATTATTCAGATTCTCTGCTAGACTGCGTGTCGTGTCTCTCATTAAGCATCGCAACAGTGATAACAGATCGTTTCTTCAATTGACAGACACGACTGTCTTCAATAACCTGATAACGAAACTCGTGATAATGTGCAATATATCGTGTTTTTCACTTTTATCTGGCGCGTGAAAGTGTCTGCGCCTTCAAATTAGTATTAACTCGCTGTCTCTGGTTTTCAGCGGTTTTCACCGCATAAAAACGGGACCACGCCTACTCTATAGAGATCTATAGATTTACATTTGTGTTTAAATGAACGATTGCATAACAATAAGAACAAAAAATTGAATAAATTCTTTGGAAGATGACAAAAGATTCTTCAATCGATTTAATATTGATTTTATCATCATAACACGTGTATGTTAATTTAATTTTCTAAACAGAAGGGCAAGCATTGTAGAACTGTTTGGATCTGTTTTATATCGATACTGCATTTTTATATTTTCAATCAAAATTTAACTCTGGACACGTATATTATATACAGCTATTCGGAATAGATTCGAATTGAAATTATTTTGTTTTTCTCGGAAAATACAGTAGAAATCTAGGAAATATCTGAACAATTTCAATCGGAATCCATTCCGAACAGTTCCACAATACGTGCTCAGAGTCATTTTCTGATTGAAGATATAAGAACGCAAAGATGTAATAAAACGATGGAAAGACTATATGATTATTTTATTATATTGTTATTATATTGAGGATATATTTGGAGATTATATTAATTGTTATATATATATATATATATATATATACACACACATATATGTTCAAAGAATCAACGTGTGAATACAGTGTAAAGTATTTATTTTAAAGATTCTTTTCTAAACATTCTTTGTAACAATTCAATTGCACAAGTATTATAAAAAGTAATTCAATAATTACTGGTTGATTAAGTTTATAAATTTGTAGCACATACAGTTTATCGATATACGCACAATTAAACAAATTGATTGTACTCTCCTGGGAGTATAACCACAAACGTAGTATTCATTCGCGAGTGATTAATTAATTATTTATGACATATGCGCTACTTGTTACTCCACATACGCTAAAGCGGTAACCAAGATTCTATTGGAATCAGTAATGCTGTTTCAACAGTATTATTGCATAGAATTATTTCTTAATAGGCTATGTTTATTCTCAACAATGGCTATTACATTTGAGCAAGACTCTTACCTGTATATTTTGAAGTTTTAACAGACTCGCAAGTAAAGGAAATAATACTAATTTCTAATAATAGAGAGTAATAATTAAACATTTATTGTGCAAACTTATTTTAGTTTTGTTCTAAATATTCTCATTAACAAAATAAATCTATAACGTGTAAAATTAGTACTTATTTTTATTAGTTATAAAAATAAAATAAAAAGATTAATATATTATCGACAAATACAACAAAACAAAGAATTTCTACAAGTTGAAAACAACAAGCACAATGCATATTTCTAATGCGACGCGTCATGGCATGCAAATCTCTCTCTTCTTCGGAACTAATCATAAATGCCATTGCTGTGCCCACGTGTATGTTCGTACAAGGCAATCCCGCATTCGCATCTGTACGTCAAACCTATTATTGCAAAAGTGTATTATAATGATTTCCAATGCAGTAATACTAGTTATCTATAAATGATTCGTATAATTAAAAATGTTATTTAGTGTGTGTGCGCGCGCACAATAATGTAGGCTGATGAATGTAACTGACATACGATGGAGATGTACGATCTGATTATACTGAATCACTATCAATTCTGTGCACAAATAACTTCTTGAACAAGAAAATATTATCACTTTTATCATGTAATTATCGTATTATTCGCTCAATATCGCATAGATAATAATTCTTTTATACAAATGTCGATGAGTATATTGAATTATTTTATCTTTTATCATCTCACTATATATTATTTCTTTAAGATTTTTATTTATAATATGTTTGATAAAATTGTCTTTGAATTAACATGTTTTGTGTATAATACTAATAGCTTCAGAATTATATAAATATTTTTATAATAATAAAAGTCAGTAAAAGTAAAATAAAATGGAAGCCGAAGAGTTATCAACAATCGTTGTTCAATCAAATAGTCTTATGTGGAAAATCCGTCTTATGTGGAAAGTCAGAACCAAGCCTTGTGTATCATAACGATCGAAATGTTTACACATCGTGAAACAATATTATTCACTTTACGTTACTTAATTTCAAAGCAATGATAACTAAATAGGATCATTAAGACTTTGACAAAATTAAATTATCTTTTTAAATATTACGTATATGTTTCACATTGAGCTTTACTGATTATTTATTTGTTCCTCGCTCGCTCTTTTTCTCCTTCTCTTTCCGAACATTAATGCTTATCGTAATATGTGAGAGCAAGCTGAGAAATCGATTTCGTAGATTGCGAATTGATTCAATAATCAGATCAAGCTCCGAGAAATTCAGGACGTATCGTCGTCGATGTCTTTACACCTTCACTAATAGAAGCTTTATTTTTTTAATACCCATCTTTGGGAAATCTTGGCAAGAGCGTATTGCAATGACGTGTAACTTCTTTGGAACTGTGAACCAGTCTTCGGACCTGACATCATTTATTTGATGATTGTCACATCGTCACCGATTTCGAAATGATACAGAATAATACCCCTTCCTGACAGCTTGACCGGATTCCCAAGCATATCTCGGCACTATCTGGGCGGAGTTTCCTTATCAGAATCACCGGATGACTGTCTCCTCGCTGCTGTCAGCCACTGACTGGTTGCTCCGATTGCTGCTCGTCACTGGCACCGAGGAGTGTGCGATCGGAAGCTATCATCTGGCTGTCAGCCGATGGTAAACAGTTCTCCGGTATACACCGCGGTGCGCAGACGTGCGTACGTACGTAGTGCAACGTATGCACGTGTGCATACGCGTGTATATGTGAACGAGCCTATAAAGAGAGAGAGAGAAAGAGAGAGAGAGAGAGAGAGAGATAGAAATAATTGAATACACATTCTCGTCTGTCCACGCGCGCTTTATTTACTCGTGACGTGGGGTGACTCCGGCATGAGGACCACCATCTGATATCGCAGCCAAAAGTGCATTCACTATCGTGCTTGTCATCGTGGTAACGGATCTCTTCAGGTGCAATCACCGTGGAGCTCCGAGAAGACATGCAATCGGACAAGTAGGGTTTTTATAAATAGTAATATGTGTCATTAATTTGTTAAAAAATTTAAAGCTTACATTCTCTCTTTTAAATTATATTTTATTATTTACTCATTTTATATGATAAATAATAACCGACGATAGCAACAGCGGTTGTTGCGAATTGGTTATTGTGAATTTATATTTCTAATCAGACTTATATTAATAAGTAATATTATATAGGTATACTATTTTATGTTATACTATTGTATGTTAATATACACATGTACTAATTAAAATTATTTTTATCTGATGACAAATTCTATTGTATGAGTAACATTAGCTATTCAGATTAAATGGCCGTCATAATGATTATGGCTGATCTATTCCAAGTTGATCGATTCTGCAAGCTGAGAAAGCAACAGATGTTGGTATAAAATTTGCGCTTGCCTTTCTATCGTATTTATATTGGATCACGATTTGTTTCTTTAATCTTCAATGCATTTAATGTCTATACTTTTGAACGATCATTGTAAAAATAGAAGATTGAAACACGCTATCAATGATGATAACAGATAAAATGTGCCAATCAATTCCAGCATATTTTGATATTCAATAGAATTTGTTAGAAAGATTTTTTAATTTAAAGAAATGATATATTGATACTTAATACATATTTATGTTTAAAAGCATTGTTATCGTATTACGAAAAAATAAATTCCATTTTTTTTTAAATTATATAATTTAATAAAATTTCTATTTAAGATATTATAGGAAAATTTTACTTACACAATAGAAAAGTATTTTAATTACTTGTTACTCATTCTAATACTAATATAATACAAATAAATGTCAGTAAATGTAATGTTAGGAAAATTTATGTCAATAAAATATTTATGTCAGACATACAAATTTGAATCAAGTTATTCAAATGTAAAATTGTCGCTCAAAACACGTCTGATGTATAAAAATTAAACAATAGACCAACCAACTTATAACCGACTGTATTAATCATGCAATCATGCATTGCACGAAACATGTTTAATTCCAATGCAGTACCTTGAATTAGATTCACCTTGCAACATGAAACGTGAATAGAGTCAGCCAACCGTTTAAACAAATCTTTTTTTCATGCGTATATGCACTGTAATACGCAAAAATCATGGAAGAATAATTATTTCACAATATCTAACCGTCGATCACGTGCTGACCCGCACTTTGACCCAAGTAACGTCACGTCACATGGATTCTCTTATCATCGTTATATATGCTCGATTCTACATATAATGATTATTGTTATCAAAGCAGCAAACTTTGAAAAAATATCAGTTCGTTAAGACAGAATTGATAATCGATGTGCGACATGCAAATTTATTCAATTTCAATTGCATTCATAAGTTATCTATATATCTCTTATACAGGAAAATCACCCGGAAACAAATATCGATGACATTTTGTGCAATAATTTTAACTTGTAAGAATCAAAGATAAATACATATAAGTTTCTATAAATCTTAATAAATATAAAAATAAATATTATAATCTGAAAGAAATATACATATAAAGTAAAAAATTTAAAAAATAAATAAGCATATAAGAGAAAAATAAGCATATTTCATCAAAAGTTATTTTTGAAAAATAATTATGAGCAGATAAAATAAACTTATATGAAAATAAATCGTAAAATTACGGAAACTATACCTTTGTTACTGTTATGAACAAGATCCTAATTAGAATCGTAATTAGAATTTTAAATAATGATACAAACGGCAATATTAAAATGTAAATGTTTCTTCATTAAAAAATGATGTGATTTAGCACCAAATTTACATTCTGACGCAGTTTAAGAGTTATTTTAGAGCGTCCTTTCAGAGAGCTGTTTTAAAGAAGAAAAAGAACTGGACTCTTAGAAAGCAACGGTTTATTTAGGGATAATCGACCTTTAACCTCTCTTATGTTAAAGGTGCATAAAACTCTTATTGATATTTAGATTGATAATCGATTGCTTTTTCCACTCGTTCTTCTTTCACCGACGAGATCTTTATTTTACAACTTTCCTCAAAATAGGTTAACATTTTTCTCGATCTATTTACACGTGCTGCTTTATAAAATTGCTTCAAACAAGATTGCATCTCCCATGTAAATAATTTCCGTAATGCAAAATATTGTAAAAATTCACAGTTACGCCAACGCATTTTGACGTTTAATGCTTGTCGATGGGCGAATTTCTTATCGATGCGTGCGTTGTATGGTAGCTACATCGTTAAAAAATGTTAATTTTAATTTAAAAATGTATAGATAGTAAATTTTCAGAAACATGCATAAATATTAAAATTAACTTTTACAAAATGTTAAAATTAACATTTTTATAAAAATTAACGTTTTTATATAAAAATGTTTAAAATTTTTGCATGTTTCTGAAAGTGCACTATATGACTTTAAAAATTGAAATTAATATTTTATTTTTAATAGTGTATAAAGAAGTAAGTCTTGAAAAAATAATTAAAGATGAAAAATTATACACATAATAAAGTATAATAATATCTACAATCATTTTCAGAAATTATATATAATATTATACAATAATATCTTACGTATAAAAATTATAAAATTTTACTATGCAATAATGATTCATAAATTTTACGGAAAGTTTTTATCTATGTTTAGTAAACATTGTTTACGTATATTATAATGTTAAATTTATATTATTACGCATGTGAACTTTGATATGCGATGTTCTAAGATCATCTTCATTAATCATAAAGTTATAGGGAGATTTTCGATCATGATGAACTTTCTACATCAGTGTTATACAAAATTAGCATACTATGCCAAATTAAGTCTCTGTCTCACTATTCTCTATATAAGTATAAACATCTGTCTTTTTTCTTCGGAAAATACAATGTCTATTTAAGGTAACCTTTTATATTTGCCAAATTTTTCTTACTTTAATCAAAGTTATATCAGTGGAAAAATAATTTTTACATGACAGGAACATGTAATAAAGTAAGGAAAATCACATTAAATATTTAAAGTTAAAAACATGTGGAAACTTCTAATAAATCAATTTGTTGTTTTTTTGGCACTTACAATTAGTACTATTTTTGAAAGTTATAGTATCAATCAATCTTAAACATATCATTTATATCTGTTCCTCGTGAATTGTATTAATAAAAATAATTAATCAGTTAATAAAGCTGATGTTACTATTAGAGAAGAGAGAGAAGTTTTATGAGATTTATGAAGTATTATTTACATTTTACAAGTGTGAATTTACGTGCCGATAGATAAATGTAGTTTTAACTTAAGGCGTGATGATTACAGTAGAATTATCATTTTGTGAGTCATGATTTTGTGAGTCTATTAATCTTATCTGTCATATATAATCTTTGATTATTTTTATCGTCGTTCTAATTTTCGTGCTATTTTCGTTTCAGTTCTTAGATCTAAAAATAAATATCGTCGATATATGTATCTACATATATTTGCGAGATAGATCCTACTATTTACGGAGTTTATATTCATTGTTTATTAATTCCGTCACGTAAAAATTATTCGGATAATCAGTACATTGAGATGTCGCTTCTATTCAAGAAAGATATATTATTTAACATTAATTTAAATTCACATTAACCTTTAAAATTTATTATTAATTACATTGCATTAATAACGTACCTACCAATTGTGAAAACTAATAATTATTTAAGTACAATATATTTTATGTTTATATGAATAATATGCATTTTTGACAAAAGATTTTTTATTTCATTGAAATAAATATAAGAAATATAAAATTATATAAAATATATCATCATACCTTACATTATTGTAAGAATTGAATTGAATAGACAATATCTTCATAAAGTTATTATCATACACATATATATGTAATAAATGATTAAAATACGATTTCTTAAAGATAAAAAACATTGAAGCAAATATTTATAAAGAATTGTCAACTCATCAAAATTATAATTAAAAAATGTTAGTTATATTAAAAAACAATTGTTATTGCACACATTATAATCAAATTCAATATTTAAATAAATATCTAACAATACTTTAATTTTTTCGTACTAAAGTTTATAAAAAAGTAATTATTTTCTATTTTATTATTGTATTATTATATGCTAATTTTATTTTTTATGTAATTTTCTTTCCTTTAAAAGTATTTACGCGAATATTTATAACTGATACTCTGTTTTAGATACTGTTTTAGATACTTTTTTAGACCTCTATCGTGGTTTCTTAGAGGCAAACGAACACGAGTATTTACTTGCTTATTTAATAACAAGATGAATGTTGTGTTTTTTATTTTTATATAAATAAAATATTAAAGTACCTTGCAATTTTTCATGCTATTAAAACTTTTTTGAACTTTTATTCATTAATCTTCATTTACAAGAAATAAAAAATGCAATTTTGATGCGATACCATTTGTAAATCGAGACTACTTGCATGTAAAACACACTTTTTAAATAAAATTATTGTTATCAAATATTCGAAAAAGTGCACAAAAACAAAATGCAAAAGTTCTATAAAACATTAACAGAAAACTGTAAAGTGCTTGAAACTTTATTTTTCTGTAATTAATATATTGGACATATATATAATCAAGACATTTTTAACACAAAAACATTTATTTTAAATTAAATACATATATATACATTAATAAATTTTTTAATGTTTATTCTTTTATTACAATCAATATTTGAATTACTATATTTTGCATGAATAAGATTTTAATTTTAACATTATAAAGGAAACTGTTACATCATTTTGCTCCTTCAGATTAACAATTAATAGTGAATTTGAAGAGCGTTTGGTAATTATTTGCTATTATCAATTATGGTAATTGATAAGTGATATGATAGACATTGATTGTCCTTAGATTCAAGTCATGTGTCAATTATATAATTAATACGCTGACGAATGAACTACCTTCAACGATTGCTGTGTATTGCCGTACTGAAACGTAATGTCCATACTGAAACGATTTGCAGTTATTTTCGTTATTAAGCAGTTAATTATTGTTGCATG